TTCCAAAGCTCTTTCGCGGTCGGCCTAACATCGCTGCTATACATCGTTGCCTCATCCAAAACATGGTAGCCACCGTCTAGTGACAATCTAAGATGAATCCTCGAACCAAACCGGTTGTTATTGTTGCCGTTATCTAAGCTAAACCATCTTGAACCAACCGGTGTATCTCCGGTTCGTCTCTCAACAGCGGAAACCGGAATTTGAACCCTCCCAACAGCCACATCGTTTTGTCCTCCTAATGCACCACCACCAAGACGATCCTCCACAACAATTGTAATGCAATCCTCAAACGGCTCGGCAACTACAAACATCAAGTCCTCGTTCCAATAAGGATTTGAAAAGCTCTGCGTGGGGCTTGTAGATGCGACTGGAGTCCTCAGTATCTGACTCCCGACTTGAAGCTTCGCCGAAAGCTCTGGAAACCTCATGAGACCTGATCCCTTGTCCATAATCGCAACGTCTTGAGCCTCAATTACTGACACCCTAAGATACCATAGCTTAGGAGACAAGTAAACCTTTGATTTGATCGATGAGAGTCCCTCAATGTGAACATTTCCAGCCTTTGAATGCCACGCCTCAGCAAAAGCCTCATCAGCTTGAGTCCCGAACCACACTGACACCATAATCTCTCCATTGCTTCTACCACCGTTTCTATTCTCTATCTTGTACCATTGCGGAGCTAACGGACTATCCGGAGGAACACGGGTTGGTATTTCGCTTAAATCAAACCAGACCCGACCCGTATACTCATCTTTGTTACCTTCTTTGACGAAAAGCTCAACAACGGATGATTGAATGCTTTCTTTGGAAAAGGCAAAGACTTGATTCCACTCTGGATTACTGGAATTCAAACTCACTTTTTTAGTAACTCCCCTGTAATTACCCAATTTCACTTCCGACACGACTTCGCCGGATACCGACAAGTCCTTAGCTTTCACGATTCTAACATAAAGGTACTGCATTTGCTCAACTAGATCGTAAGTCGAGCTTGTTTTGTCCTTGTGATTAGTCAAACCGCCAACACCAGTACCAGTTCCTCCAAGACATGGCTTTGTCTCTTTAAGCGAAAACTCACTCGACCCATTTGAGTAAACGACGGGTCTGGGTCCGGGCATTGGACCGGGAAGAGCGGTTATCACGAGAGGCTTAATCTCACCTTGGTTTGGATAAAACGGTAGCATCCTCTGTCCTTGACCGTTCTGCTGACTCTGTTGTTGATTTCCTTTGTTGTGATTGTGAAGAGCAATTTGTTGCTGTTGTTGTTGTTGCTGTTGAATCGCCATGGAAGAGCTCAAGTTCTGTACTTTCTTGCTTTTCTTTGAACCACCCGATCCGTTAACACGACGGACATTCTCACCGTTCTCCCCCGTTGTGGTCATGTAGTGTTTGACGCTGATTTCTCCACGCACAGACGAGAAAAGGCTTCTCTTTTCAAGAGTGTAGAGTTGAACGACTGACTCTCCTTCTCTTCCAACGCTGGAACCCAAAACCCTAACCTTTCCCAGGAAGTTTCTGCTGTTAGAGGAACGCTTCTCGCTGTAAACGCTGATTTCTAGGGTTTTGTGTCTGAGGTCGTTGACGTCGATAACGTGGAAGACGAGCTTCTCGTTCCAGATTGGGTTTAAGTCTTTGGGTTTGACCTTAGATCGGAGACGTTGGTTCTCGAACTCCACTTCCACAAAAGGAGACGAAGATCCTTCGCCATCTTTTGGCATGAGATTGTGGGCCCCTACTATCTCCACCACGAGCTTCTCATTGCCGGTGCCGGTTTTAGCTTCAGTCATTACCAGGTAGAAACAAATTAAAGAGATAACAACAACAATGGAGAAAAGAGAAAGTAGAAAATAGAGAAGTTAACTTGACAAAGAAAGAGAGATTAAAAGCACAAGGCAAGCGAAAAGACAGTGACTAGTGAGAGAGAGGGAGATAGAGTAAAAGAGTCTCTGAATATGCAGCAGACATTAACAAGAGAGAGCGTGCTAAGGAGAGAATCTAGATTTTGTATTTTCTTACAATATTGAACTAAATAGGTTGAGTTGTAATTAAAAAAAACAAAAAAAAAGAATTTACGAACGACAGCTTTTCAATAAATAGAAGAGAGCATAAAGGAAGGGAACTTAGGAGAAAGGGACATTACAGCCTCGAGCTTGACGCTAGCTGGTCGCGCGTGGTTTAACAACGTCTCTCAACCAACTCCATAGTAGGACCCATTTTATTTTGTCTATTTATAATTTTCTATTATACGTTTCGTTATAATAATTAAAAAACGAAAGAGACTTCTATAAACGTGGTATTCACGCACTGATTAACGCGTGAGGAATGATGGAAGGAAGAGGCTCAGTCCACGTGGCGGGTCAAACCTCAAAGGTCTATGGAACAGCAATTTTGTCTCAAAGAGTATATATTTGTCAGAACTTTGAAAACATTAATTGTACTATAATATTAGTATTTCTTATATTTTGACATCCTTTAGGTAATTATAATATTGTGTTTTCAATTTTCGTGTCAAAGGGGTATGTTTTTCTTTCTTTAATTTCTTCTGCAGACTTTGTGCATGCAAGAAGTTTAATAACTAAAACAAACCAAAAAAACAAAACAAATTTTCGTCTTTGCTAATAATGACTGCCGCGTGGCATTCAGTTGATAGTCCTCGGAAATCCACTTATCACAACTCAAAAATTCAAAATACGTAAACAATTGTCATGTTGAAATCACGCACGATGTTTATGTTTTTCTTTCTTAATACCCGTGTAAAACAAACAGTACATGATTTACCTTTTACTAGTTTCGAACCCTATGAACTACTCCTGCATCGTATTCCTTAGTTTGTCTCGGTCAACGTGTTTTGTTCCACCAAAACGATAGGATTCTATAGTTAGATACTTAGATCAGTTAAAGTGGTTAGACCGTATGGATTTTATGTTAAAGCCCCTTTAATTAAACCTTCTTTTACTTTGACGTTAAAGCCCAATTTCTTATGACAAAGAAAACCCAACACAGAGAAGAATGGCCCTATCTCTTACAAGAAGCCCATATATTATTGTTTACAATAAGTTGATAAGTTATACAACAGTATATATATATATGGGGCTTAGTGCTTTTCATTACACAGGTTCGCTCCATACAACCATATTTGAATGTTTCCAAATAGGTTTACAAATATATATATATATATATATATATATATATATATATTTTTTTAATGTTTCCATATTTTTTTTCGACCTTTGTCCAGTTAACACATGCGTATATATGCAAAGAAAATATAATACATACATGGGATGAAAAGAAAATCTGGATACAAAAATCTTAATTCTTTTATTTAATATATATACATATATTGAGCACCCTTTTGTATTAAGAAATCAATCAGCATGTTTCACTAAAAAAATCTGTTATATGATTATGAGTTGTATATTACTGATTAAAAAAAACAAATAATTAGATAATAGGTTTTTTTGTTATGTAAGAAATCGGACAAAATTAGTTTTCCGCGTCCGAAATACAAGCTCGTAAAATGATAGAAAAGACAGGGGTAATTTTGGGATATAAATGTCATAATTCAACGTCTAGTTATGATGCTGTCATTTTAATTAAAGTATTTTCTCCAAAACAAATCCCAAAGGTGGGGGAGGTAAGGGAAGAGGGAAGCACGAAAGGCAAAAAAAAACGAAAATCTGAGAGACACATAAAAATTTTATAATCAGAAAAGTTTTCAACATTACAACAATCAGAAGAAACAACGCGTTTCGATTTTTGCGATTCCCGTTTTTTTCTTCTGGGCATTGAAATCTCGTCTCGAAGCATTGCGTATACGCATTGTCGGTGTATTTGTCGGTGTAGTTACAAGAAGAAGTTCAATGTTGCTCTGATCTCAGCTAGATCCAGAGAAAAAGCAAAAGAACATTGAGTTTCTTATTCGTTAAGCAATAATGGTAAAGGTTTCTTTGGGTTTTTCATGTTTTTTTTTCTTTCTTTCTTCTTTTTGATTGCATTTAAATTCGTTTTGTGTTATGATGGATAGGGGTTTACGTTTTGATTTATTTCCTCGTTTGATTGAATCTGAGTTTTGAATTTGAGCCATTGATGATGAATTTTGAGTTTGTCGATTGTGATTTTTTCAATCTTTGAGCTGTTTTTGAGTCATGGCATTGTTGAGTCCCTGTATGACAGAGATTTGACTTCAATTCAGACGTGTCTGATAGAGTTTGTTGCTTAGTCCCTATAACTTGTCTCATTCTCCATTTAGCTACTAGTGGTTACAGAGATATTGATACTATTTCTAATTACCTTAAAGCAGAAATTCTATATGCTATTTGAAGCTAAATGCAATTTTTTTTTTTTTTTTTTATTGTAGTTACGATACACTGCATTTAATGTAGTCGATTTACTATGCCCAAGAATCCATTCTTTGCACATTTATTGAATATTTCGTTAAAGCTGAAACAAGAACCCCATGTGGCAATGTTATTGCACATTAGGATATGCAATCTTGGAAGCTTTGAATTTGTTGTAACCAGTTCTTATTTGCATTTCTTTTGTGGAGAAGCTATGTCCTTTTGACACCCTTTGTTTTCTCCAGGTTGCTACCTTCAATCCTGCAGTTGGGTCCCATGTGTGGGTGGAGGACCCTGATGAAGCATGGCTAGATGGTGAAGTTGTAGAGATTAACGGTGACCAGATCAAAATTCTCTGCACTTCAGGGAAACAAGTATGTGCTCTATTATCCTGCTATTTGATTTAAGAGGGCTTTCCAGATGTTCCTCTGCAATGTGTGTTTGACTTTGGAAGCTTTTACGATAACCTTTTTTTTTCTTTGGAAAACACAGGTCGTTGTTAAAGCTTCCAATATTTATCCAAAAGATGTTGAAGCACCAGCATCTGGGGTGGAAGATATGACAAGGCTGGCTTATTTACATGAACCTGGAGTCCTTCAGAATTTGCAATCAAGATATGATATAAATGAGATTTATGTGAGTAACTTCACTGAGATTTATCTTCGTGTGTGTTTAAAACACATGTACTCGACATATGTGTATAAAGAGCAAGCGAGAAGCTATCCGTGTTATTTACGATTTGTTGTAAGACTGAATCCTCGTTTTACTTTCAGACATATACGGGAAGTATACTGATTGCTGTTAACCCGTTTAGAAGACTTCCGCATCTATATAGTAGCCATATGATGACTCAATATAAAGGTGCTTCCCTCGGTGAACTGAGTCCACATCCTTTTGCCGTTGCAGATGCTGCATATAGGTAATTTAGCACAGACTCTTCGAATAATGTGTTGCTTTTCCAATGTTATTATTAATGTAGTTGGACTGTTTGCTTGGAGTATTCTATTGCAGACAGATGGTTAATGAAGGAGTTAGTCAATCTATCCTGGTTAGCGGTGAAAGTGGTGCTGGTAAAACTGAAAGCACAAAGTTGCTAATGAGATATCTTGCCTTCATGGGAGGGCGAGGTGATGCTACCGAAGGAAGGACTGTTGAGCAGAAAGTGTTGGAGGTGAAAGAATAGTATACATGCCTATTTTTTTTTTTTTCGGTATATATAAAGAATGGTCAGATCTTGTCTTATCACATACTCAGAGTTGATTTTGCATTAAAAACTGGAGTAAATAATAATACCAAATCTTCAGAATTCCAGTGGCCTAGATTGGCTTATTGCGTTGATCTGTTTCTTATTGCTTCTTATATTTACGTTTCATACAGTCGAATCCTGTTTTAGAAGCATTTGGAAATGCAAAGACTGTTAAGAACAATAATTCCAGGTAAGGAGGTTTCCGTGTACTGTGCTTCTTCGCATTCTTTCAATTATATTTAAAGTTTTTTTTTTTGCGTGTGAGAGGTTTGAAATTTTTTGTTTTTGTATTTTATAGTCGATTTGGTAAGTTCGTGGAGATTCAATTTGACCAATCGGGGAGGATATCTGGAGCTGCTATAAGAACTTATTTGTTGGAAAGATCACGTGTTTGCCAGGTGTCCGATCCCGAAAGAAACTATCATTGTTTCTACATGCTTTGTGCTGCACCAGAAGAAGTAAGTTTTAGATCAAAATTAACTTTTAAAATGACCAGTGAAGTAGCTGCTGATTCACAGCATACGAAAATGTATCTCCTATTTCTACTTCCAGGATGCTAAGAAGTTTAAGCTTGGTGATCCTAAGATATACCACTATCTCAATCAGTCTAAGTGTATACAATTGGATGCTATGAATGATGCGGAGGAATATCATGCAACAAAAAAGGCTATGGATGTCGTCGGGATCAGTTCTGAAGAGCAGGTAACTCCATTTGTTGAACAGAGCGAAACCTGGCTGATATATTGTCTTGATCACCAACTTCTTAACATTTCCGGCATGCCTGTAGGATGCAATTTTCCGAGTTGTGGCTTCCATTCTGCATCTGGGGAATATTGAATTTGCTAAAGGGACAGAGATTGATTCATCAATTCCCAGAGATGAAAAATCTTGGTTTCATTTAAAAACGGCCGCCGAGCTTCTCATGTAAATGGCTCGACTTATATAGACTGAAGTGGGTTGCTTCTGAATGTGACTGAAGTGGGGATCCTTACTAGCATAATCTTTTGCTGCAGGTGTGATGAAAAGTCACTTGAGGATTCTCTATGCAAGCGTATCATGGCAACCCGTGATGAAACAATCACAAAAACTCTCGATCCAGAAGCCGCTCTTCTTAGCCGAGATGCTTTGGCAAAAGTCATGTACTCAAGGTTGTTTGACTGGTGAGTTTCTCTGTTCTCAACTGACGAAGACATTCTCAGTAGCTAATTCTCTTCATTTGAAGAAATAAGTTGGAGTTGTATTTATACAGAACTGTTTTATACTAATTATTTTTCTATGCAGGCTCGTTGAGAAGATTAATACTTCAATTGGTCAAGATCCTGATTCAAAGTACTTGATTGGTGTTCTTGATATTTATGGATTCGAGAGTTTCAAGACAAACAGGTGCTTAACCGGTATGCCTGTTGTTTTCAGATTGCATAGATGTGTTTCTTAACAATACAGGTCTACATTTGAATTCTGGTTGTTTGACTTAACATATGGAATTTTCAACTTCTCTCATGTCGTTGCTTGTACATAGTGTTCTATATTGGTCTGATCCATTTCATCGTCAAGGCAGTGATGTTTCTAATATGGACAGTTGAGATTTTTCTATTTCCTATTGTTGTTTGAGCTTGTGACTTTACCATGCTAAACGTGATTCGAAAGGGACTATTGTTAGATAAATGATTTATACTGATGAAACATACCTGTAGGGAAAGTATTCACTGTGTGACCGTCAAAGAATTTATGACCACGTTGGATCCTAGATTGTCGTTGTTTATTGTCCCACTGCTTACTGTTGCAAGTAT